AGAAGGTATATACAGTATACATACATATTATATATATATATATCTCTGTCTCTCTATATATATATATATATACAGTATATATATATATATATATATATATATATATTTATATAAATTGTATATACACTCACCGGCCACTTTATTAGGTACACCTGTTCGATTGCTTGGTAACACAAATTGCTAATCAGCCAATCACATGGCAGCAACTCAGTGCATTTAGGCATCTAGACTTGGTGAAGACGACTTGCTGAAGTTCAAACTGAGCATCAGAATGGGGAGGAAAGGGGATTTAAGTGACTTTGAACGTGGCATGGTTGTTGGTACCAGGCGAGCTGGTCTGAGTATTTCAAAAACTGCTGATCTACTGAGAATTTCACACACAACCATCTCTAGGGTTTACAGAGAATGGTCCGAAAAAGAGAAAATATCCAGTGAGCAGCAGTTGTGTGGAGGAAAATGCCTTGTTGATGTCAAAGGTCAGAGGAGAATGGGCAGACTGGTTCCAGATGATAGAAAGGCAACAGTAACTTAAGTAACCACCCGTTGCAACCAAGGTATGCAGAATACCATCTCTGAATGCACAGCATGTCAAACCTTGAAGCAGATGGGCTACAGTAGCAGAAGACCACACCGTGTGCCACTCCTGTCAGCTAAGAACAGGAAATGGAGGCTACAATTCGCACAGGCTCACCAAAATTGGCCATTAGAAGATTGGAGAAACGTTGTCTGGTCTTATGAGTATCGATCTCCCTAGAGATGGTTGTGCGTGAAAATCCCAGTAGATTAGCAGTTTTTTAAATACTCAGACCAGCCCATCTGGCACCAACAACCATGCCATGTTCAAAGTCACTTAAATCCCAGCTGCATCCGACAGCAGCAAAAGACCACTCCAGGTGGAAGTCCTATCAGCTAAGAACAGGAAACAGAGGCTACAATTCGCTCAGGTAAAACTTGATTTAGGCCAGCCAAGCCTGCAGTCTCATGCTTGTGCTATTGTGTTTGTAACACATGCTCTAAGCTCCCCATTTGTCTGCCCTGCCTTGCTAGTTTGTATTCTCTCATTAATGACTTCGGATCAGATATTGACTACTCTCTGAACCCTGTCTGCCTTTTGACTACGGATTTAACCCTGTCTACCCTGAACCTTGCAAAGCCAAACAGAAGTGGGTTGCCACTACCTGTCAAATGCTTAAAGCGTATAAGCAGTCTCCATCTGCTTATAAGTACAAGTCCAATTCCAAAAATGTTGGCAACAGGTGAATACAAAAATCTTTATTGCATAAAGGAGTGGGCAGCACAGTGGCTAAATGGTTAGCACTTCCACCTGGCAGTACTAGGGTCATCAGTTTGAATCACAACCACAACACCACCTGCCTGGAGTTTGCATGTTCTCCCCTGTGCCTGCGTGGGTTTCCTCCGGGTACTCCGGTTTCCTCCCACACTCCAAAAAACATGCTGATAGGTTAATCGGATCCTGTCTAAATTGTCCCTAGTATATGTATGAATGTTAGTGACTTTAGATTGTATACCCCTTGAGGGTTAGGGACTGAGGTGAATGTACAATATATACAGTTGTGTTCAAAATAATAGCAGTGTGTTAAAAAAAGTGAATAAAGCTCAAAATCCTTCTAATAGCTTTTATTTCCATCCACACAAATGCATTGGGAACACGACACATTCTATTCCAAATCAAAACATGAAGAAAAATATATCAAATTTGTGTTGTTCCTCTAAAAAAATTGAAGAAAAAGTGAATATTAGACGGTTCAAAAAAATAGCAGTGTTTGTATTCTTCTTTACAAACTCAAACAAAAGCATAGACTGAAAATACCGTTCCTCATTAAATAATACTAGTTATATATATAAGGAGACTGACTGCCCTAGATAGAATAATTTACCTTGACATAACGTGCTAATTACTAGAACCAATCCCCTGTATAGCTGTCTCTGCACCAGCTGTAAGCTGGCTTCTTCTCCTCTCCCCTCCTGCCACACCAATCACCCTCCCTGTGCACCATACCTTTCCCCCAACTGCCCGTGCCCCCCTACCCTCGCAGTGTTGGCAGCTTCCATCCTCCCCTTCCCTCCGGCTGCTGTAAGCACACAATAGGATCCTTCAGGATGGAGAGTGGCGGAAGTGTTTGGTAAATATGTCATATTTACTAGCCTCTTCCTTTCCTGAATGATCACAATGAGTGATTGTTACCGTTCACTCACTGTGTTCATTCATAACTGAAGCACCCTAAACTGTATTTATTTGGGAGGGCCCTTTCAGGTTGACTGTATGGGGCCTCGTGGTTTCTAACAGCAGCCCTGGTTCAGGCCATGCATTCCTTATTGCACTGAGACTAATCACTATGTTATGACCATTGTTCAAATGTTGACATTGTTGCTTCTGTAAGACAACAAAAAAATACAAAATTCTTCTTCAATAAAAAATCGATTGAAATATAAAAAGCACTTTACATGAGATGAACTTTTGTACCAGGATCTTCTCCGTACACATTGAAGAATCTACTATCCGGTGAGCACTTCCTTGTGTGGCTTTAGGAAAGCCTAGGACCAGAGCAGGGTCCACCTACACTAGACTTTACAAAAACAAAAATAAAATTCCTAAAGACGTACGTCGAAGAAAAACGTGATTCCATCATAGCCGGGACAGAGGCTTGGAACGCATGCCGGCCGTCTTAATTTGATTACACAGGCAATACATGGTGGTGCCGGCTTCTGGGGCACTATATCATGTGAGTCCATCCAGTTTGTTTAATCCCTACTGTTGCCTTATTAAATACTATACTTAGAACGGTTTTCATTGTTGTGATTCCTTTCGAGTGGTATGGCATAAACAGCAAGGATTACCTATCCCAACCCCTCCAATTATTGTTTGGGGAAACTATTGGAAACTATACATCAGTCCTCTTGGTGATCTAACCATGAAGTGTGGGTGATGGTGACCATATGTGGAGGAACCTCTAGAGATCATCCTGGTCTATAAAACACAATGCAATGTATGACCACTGTAATGGGGTCATACAGGTCTGGTGAGTGATCCATTCATTTGCCTTTGTACTCCACATATGGATTTCTTTGTCACCAATTTTTGAGGTCTAAGAAAGAACTGTCACAATTTGAATTCATTCAGCACATGGTGGGAGCATAAGGACGTTTTATGCAATTAGGATGACTTAGTCATTATCTATATTTTGTTTATTATTTGGTTTACCCTCCCTGTTGGTATTCCTGAGTGTAGCTCGGGGTAAAGTTTCAGTACCACAAGCGGTAACCCCGAGCTACACTCAGGAATACACTGCACTGTTGCTCTGGGATCTCTTCTTCACTTAACTTGTCCTGCGCTCCCACGATGTCCCCCCTGCAGTGTCCCCTGTAATGTCCTCCGGCCGATGCCGGCATCTGTCTTCTGGGTTCCGTTCTCTGCGACGTCAGAACGTACGGGGGACGGAACTGGCGGGAAATTTGAAAATGTGAAAAAGTGACATTCATTAACCTCCCTAGCGGTATGATTATTTCAGATTTTTGGTGCTGAAAGCGGTACCATTATTTTGCATGGAAATATGTAGTTTTTTTATTGTAGGCTGTAATATTTAGGAATAACTCACTGAAATCTGTCCAGACAAGAGTCTAGTAAACATCCCGGGTATGATAAAATTTGAAACACGAAATCATAAATTATAATTTAATAAATAATCATAAAAAAATAATAATATAATAATAATAAATTTAATTCAATAATACAATCAAACCAAAAACACTGAAATGTGAAATATAGCGCCAAGTTCGCACATCGCTGAGCAAAGTCGCAGAATCGTTTTCAGTGTCTGATGATGAATTTCCCCCACAAATCATTATCACTCAATTCTGCAAGTGGTTCTGATTTACTATCGCTGTTCTCTAGCCGTTCTAAAACCGCTTTTGACCTAAAGGGACACTTTTTGGACGCCATGTACTTTGCAGGCAGGGCGCCGGACAAAGCACTCGGGACAAAATGTATGTGAAATGGGTTGAAACAGCAATGTTTTACTATGTAAAATTTGTTTGGAAAAAAATGAAATTTTTTAAAATTTTCAAATTTCCCACCGCCGGCGGCGCCCGTACGTCCCGACGTCACAGGGACCGGAACACAGAAGCCGGATGCCGGCATCGGCTGGAGGAAATGGCCGGGGACGCTGCAGGGGACACATCGCGGGAGCGAAGGACAAGGTAAGTGCTGCAGGGAATCCCTATGCAGCGCCGCATGGTAAGCCCGAGTGTAGCTAATCAGACCGCTAGGGAGGCTACGCATTGTTTGATATTTGTATTTATTCACAATCAGGGGCGGACTGACCATTTGGAAACTCGGGCAGTGCCCGAGGGCCCGGGGTCAGTAGGGGGGATGCCCCTGGTACCTTTTTCATAGGCTTTTTTGAGTTTGGGCAAGGACATGGGCCCCATGATCCCTATTGCCCGGGGGCCCCATGAGTTGTCAGTCCACCCCTGTTCACAATATTCATTATTCAGTTTTCCTATTGGGTTTATAGGGTACATTTATATATTTTATATTCTTGTTAAGTACAGCGCCTATCTATTCACTATTAATCTAAACTAGACTTTAGTCACGGATTAAGGAAGAATGACTTTATGATAAACCCATCAGAACCAATTTCTACTTTTGGACTTTTGGTCCTGTGCTGTTACACACATATCAGGCAATTGGAATGGATTGGCATTGTAGCGGTGCAGGCAATGGTAAAGGTGAGTATTCCCTTACTTCTTTACAGATACAAGATGTCTGGGAAATATTAATTTAGAGGCAGGATTGCTTTGAAGTAGCGAGGTGACTCGACGTGTCTTTTGTTCCTCTTTCAGCATGTTGGAATGTAAGAAAAAGTAACCTCTTTATAGCTTTCAGTCATATTCTTGCTTCTAAAATCTAAGATTCATTATGATAAATGATCTTTCTGGACTCTGTTCTTGTACTCTAACATTTTATTTTTTCACCATAGACATATCAAGAATGAACAGCAACTGTCTGTGTTTGCTGCTCCTCACTGTTTTGGCTATTGGTGAGTGTTTATATGTAAACTTTATGTTTTCACCCCCAAGAATACAAAATCATAGATGTTCCTTGGGAATTTTAATGAAAAATCTATTGTTTTTTTTTACCTAATGGTATCAGCTCAATCTAATGTTTTTTGTTACCTACAGTGAAGGAAATGCGTATTTGCTCCCCTGCTGATTTTGAATGTTTGCCCACTCACAAAGAAATGATCAGTTTAAAAATCGAATGTTCGGTGTATTGTAACACTGACAGAATAGCAACAACAAATTCAGCAGAAATGCATGTCTAACCAAATGATGACTGATCTGCATGTTCATGAGGGAAATAAGGATTTGATCCCCCATCATTCAGCAGGATTTCTGGCTACCAGGTGTCTGTCATACAGGTAACAAGCTGAGATTAGAAGCAGTCTCTTAAAGGGAGTGCTGCTAATCTCATTTTGTTACCTGTATAAAAGACACCTGTCCACAGGAGCAATCAAACAATCAGATTCCAAACTCTCCACCATGGCAAAGACCAAAGAGCTGTCCAAGGATGTCAGGGACAAGATTGTAGACCTACACAAGGCTGGACTGGGCTACCAAACTATGGCCAAGCAGCTTGGTGAGAAGGTGACAACAGTTGGTGCAATCATTCACAAATGGAAGAAACACAAAACAAGTGTCAGTCTCCCTAGGTCTGGTGCACCATGCAAGATCTCACCTCGTGGAGTGTCAATGATCATGAGAACAGTGAGGAATCATCCCAGAACTACACGTGAGGATCTTGTCAATGATCATGAGAACAGTGAGGAATCATCCCAGAACTACACGTGAGGATCTTGTCAATGATCTCCAGACACCTGGGACCACAGTCACCAAGAAAACAATTGGTAACACACTACGCCGACAAGGACTGAAATCCTGCAGTGCCCGCAAGGTCCCTCTGCTCAAGAAAGCACATGTCCAGGCCATCTGAAGTTTGCCACTGAACATCTGAATGATGCAGAGGAGGACTGGTGGGAAGTGTTGTGGTCAGATGAGACCAAAATTGAGTTCTTTGGCATCAACTCAACTCACCGTGTTTGGAGGAGGAGGAATGCAGCCTATGACCCCAAGAACACCATCCCAACTGTCAAACATGGTGGTGGAAACATTCTGCTTTGGGGGTGTTTTTCTGCAGGGGACAGGACAACTGCACCTCATCAAAGGGACGATGGACGGGGCAATATACCGTCAAATCTTGGGTGAGAACCTTCTTCCCTCAGCCAGGGCCTTGAAAATGGGTCGTGGATGGGTGTTCCGGCATGACAATGACCCAAAACACACGGCCCAAGGCAACAAAGGAGTGGCTCAAGAAGAAGCACATTAAGGTCCTGGAGTGGCCTAGCCAGTCTCCAGACCTTAATCCGATTGAAAATCTGTGGAGGGAGCTGAAAAGTTCGAGTTGCCAAACATCAACCACCAAACCTTAATGACTTGGAGAGGATCTGCCAAGAGGAGTGGGCCAAAATCCCTCCTGAGATGTGTGCAAACCTGGGGGCCAACTCCAGGAAACGTCTGACCTCTGTGATTGTCAACAAGGGATTTGCCACCAAGTACTAAGTCATGTTTTGTGAAGGGGATCAAATACTTATTTCCCTCATGAACATGCAGATCAGTCATCATTTGTTAGACGCATTTCTGCTGAATTTGTTGTTGCTATTCTGTCTCTCAGTGTTACAATACACCTACCAGTAGGACTGATCATGTCTTTGTGAGTGGGCAACATTCAAAATCAGCAGGGGATTAAATATTGATTTCCTTCACTGTAATGGTAGCAGCCCAATAATCAAACAAACAGTGTTGTGCAACTTTAGCAGGACATACATGGGTCGAACTCTGAACAATTTTTCGATCGAAAATCAAAAACATCGTTTGTTCTGTAATCCGATGATGCCACTAATGATTTTAAAAATCGGTCGTTTTTTTCATGAATTTTCCAGCATGCCCGATAAACGAAATGGGGAGGAACCACAAAAATCAGCCGGTGCCATTGCCTCACTAACAGAGGGAAAATCGTCCGATCGTTCAAAAATCAACCCATGTATGGCCAGCCTTAGGAAGGCCATACGTGATGCCATTTTCTTTTATGCAACTACGGGTAATCCCTCCTGTGAAGCTTTTGTGTTCTGCCAGGGGTTGGAGGGTTGGGAAGAGCTGTCCTTGCCGGGAGAACACAGTGATTACTGCGCTATAGCCGCTTGCAATAATCGCCTGCTGAAAATCCGCATGCTGGTTGTAACCAAACCGACTGATGGATTGACCTGGGCACAATCAGCCTGCCAAAACATGGATCGAATCTCAGCTGGCCCCTGCTGAACCGGATGAGATTCGATCCATCTTTGGTCAGCTTTAGTGTTTATTGAATGAATGTAGAGTAATGTGAAAAGATAGAATGGTAAAATACTGTCGCCGGTCACTTTATTAGGTACAGCTTACTAGTACCGGGTTGGACCCCCTTTTGCCTTAAACAAAAAAAAATTGACATAAATCTCATTTATGTGCAGTGTTGCATGACCGCGCAATTGTCAGTTAAAAGTAAAGTAAGACTGCGCTCTATAGCAAAAAATGGCCTGGTCAGGAAGGGGTGTGGGGGGGGGGGGGATCTTCTGGAGGGTAAGTGGTTCATATAGATATATTTACTTCTTGTGTGTTTTGCAGTGCTGCCGGTGCGGGGGAATGTGGTTAGCCGTAGAGACGTTGGTAAGCTTGATTAAACCTACATGTAATATTACATCATGCTGGAGGCTTGAACCGGGGAAATAAATGACTTCCATGATGCAATGAGGGAATCCATGATCTGCAATCAGTACTAGTTTTCACATAGAAACCTATATATAGTGAATGCTGGGTCCGGGGAGACCAGATATAGTGAATGCAGGGTCTGGGAGACCAGATACAGTGAATGCAGGGTCTGGGGAGACCAGATATAGTGAATGCGGGGTCCGGGGAGAGCGGATATAGTGAATGCAGGGTCCGGGGAGAGCGGATATAGTGAATGCAGGGTCTGGGGAGACCAGATATAGTGAATGCGGGGTCCGGGGAGAGCGGATATAGTGAATGCAGGGGTCCGGGGAGAGCGGATATAGTGAATGCAGGGTCCGGGGAGACCAGATATAGTGAATGCAGGGTCCGGGGAGAGCCGGGATATAGTGAATACAGGGTCCGGGGAGACCAGATATAGTGAATGCAGGGTCCGGGGAGAGCGGATATAGTAGTGATAAAAGTGAATGCAGGGTCCGGGTTAGAGCGAATATAGTGAATGCAGGGTCTGAGGAGACCAGATATAGTGAATGCAGGGCTCGGGGAGACCGGATATAGTGAATGCAGGGTCCAGGAGAGCGGATATAGTGAATGCAGGGTCCGGGGAGACCGGATATAGTGAATGCAGGGTCCGGGAGACCGGATATAGTGAATGCAGGGTCCGGGGAGACCGGATATAATGAATGCAGGGTCCGGGGAGACCGGATATAGTGAATGCAGGGTCCGGGGAGACCGGATATAGTGAATGCAGGGTCCAGGGAGACCGGATATAATGAATGCGGGGTCCTGCGAGAGAGCGGATTATAGTGACTGCAGGGTTCCGGAAGACTGGATATAGTGAATGCAGGGTCCGGGAACACCAGATATAGTGAATGCGGGGTCCTGAGACACCAGATACAGTGAATGCAGGTCCGAGGAGACCAGATATAATGAATGCTGGGTTCGGGGAGACCGGATATAGTGAATGCAGGGTCCGGGGAGACCAGACATAGTGAATGCAGGGTCCGGGGAGACCGGAGATAGTGAATGCAGGGTCCGGGGAGACCGGATATAGTGAATGCAGGGTCCGGGGAGACCGGATAGTGAATGCAGGGTCCGGGGAGACCGGATATAATGAATGCAGGGTCCAGAGAGAGCGGATATAGGGAATGTAGGGTCCGGGGAGACCAGATATAGTGAATGCAGGGTCCGGGGAGACCGGATATAGTGAATGCAGGGTCCAGGGAGACCGGATATAATGAATGCAGGGTCCTGGGACACCAGATATAGTGAATGCAGGGTCCTGGGAGACCAGATATAGTGAATGCAGGGTCCTGAGACACCAGATACAGTGAATGCAGGGTCCGGGGAGACCAGATATAATGAATGCTGGGTCCGGGGAGACTGGATATAGTGAATGCAGGGTCCGGGGAGACCAGACATAGTGAATGCAGGGTCCGGGGAGACCGGCGATAGTGAATGCAGGGTCCGGGGAGACCAGATATAATGAATGCGGGGTCCTGGGAGAGAGCGGATATAGTGACTGCAGGGTTCCGGAAGACTGGATATAGTGAATGCAGGGTCCTGGGACACCAGATATAGTGAATGTGTGGTCCTGGGACACCAGTTATAGTGAATGCAGGGTCCTGGGACCCCAGATATAGTGAATGCAGGGTCCTGGGACACCAGATATAGTGAATGTTTGGTCCTGGGACACCAGATATAGTGAATGCAGGGTCCAGGGAGACCCTATATATTGAATGCGGGGTCCGGGGAGAGTGGATATAGAGAATGCATGGTCTGGGGAGAGCAAATATAGTGAATGCAGGGTCCAGGGAGAGCGGATATAGTGAATGCAGGGTCCGGGGAGAGCGGATATAGTGAATGCAGGGTCCGGGGAGAGCGGATATAGTGAATGCAGAGTCCGGGGAGAGCGGATATAGTGAATGCAGGGTCCGGGGAGAGCGGATATAGTGAATGCAGAGTCCGGGGAGAGCAGATATAGTGAATGCAGGGTCCTTGGACACCAAATATAGTGAATGCAGGGTCCGTGGAGACCCTATATAATGAATGAGGGGTCCAGGGAGAGTGGATATAGAGAATGCAGGGTCTGGGGAGAGCAAATATAGTGAATGCAGGGTCCGGGGAGACCAGATATAGCGGATGGAGGGTCCGGGGAGAGCGGATATAGTGAATGCGGGGTCCAGGGGAGACCAGATTTAGTGATGCAGGGTCCAGGGAGACCGGATATAGTGACTGCAGGGCCTGGGGAGACCAGATATAGTGAATGCAGGGTCTTGGGACACCAGATATAGTGAATGCAGGGTCCTGGGACACCAGATATAGTGAATGTTTGGTCCTGGGACACCAGATATAGTGAATGCAGGGTCCAGGGAGACCCTATGTATTGAATGCGGGGTCCGGGGAGAGTGGATATAGAGAATGCAGGGTCTGGGGAGAGAAAATATAGTGAATGCAGGGTCCAGGGAGACCAGATATAGTGAATGCAGGGTCCGGGGAAACCAGATATAGTGAATGCAGGGTCCGGGGAGAGCGGATATAGTGAATGCAGGGTCCGGGGAGAGCAGATATAGTGAATGCAGAGTCCGGGGAGAGCGGATGTAGTGAATGCAGAGTCCGGGGAGAGCGGATGTAGTGAATGCAGAGTCCGGGGAGAGAGCAAATATAGTGAATGCAGGGTCCGGGGAGACCAGATATAGCGGATGGAGGGTCCAGGGAGACCGGATATAGTGAATGCAGGGTCCAGGGAGACCAGATATAGTGCATGCAGGGTCCAGAGAGACCAGATATAGTGAATGCAGGGTCCGGGGAGACAGGATATAGTGAATGCAGAGTCTGGGGAGACCAGATATAGTGAATGCAGGGTCCGGGGAGACTGGATATAGTGACTGCAGGACCTGGGGAGACCAGATATAGTGAATGCAGGGTCCGGGGAGACCGGATATAGTGACTGCAGGTTCCGGGGAGAGCGGATATAGTGAATGCAGGGCCTGGGGAGACCAGATATAGTGAATGCAGGGTCCGGGGGAGAGCGGATATAGTGAATGCAGGGTCCGGGGAGACCGGATATAGTGAATGCAGGGTCCGGGGAGACTGGATATAGTGACTGCAGGGCCTGGGGAGACCAGATATAGTGAATGCAGGGTCCGGGGACAGTGGATATAGTGAATGCAGGGTCTGGGGAGACCAGATATAGTGAATGCAGGGTCCAGGGAGACCGGATATAGTGACTGCAGGGCCTGGGGAGACCAGATATAGTGAATGCAGGGTCCTGGAACACCAGATATAGTGAATGCAGGGTCCTGGGAGACCAGATATAGTGAATGTTTGGTCCTGAGGAACACCAGATATAGTGAATGCAGGGTCCAGGGAGACCCTATATATTGAATGCGGGGTCCGGGGAGAGTGGATATAGAGAATGCAGGGTCTGGGGAGAGCAAATATAGTGAATGCAGGGTCCAGGGAGACCAGATATAGTGAATGCAGGGTCCGGGGAGAGCAGATATAGTGAATGCAGAGTCCGGGGAGAGCAGATATAGTGAATGCAGGGTTCGGGGAGAGCGGATATAGTGAATGCAGAGTCCGGGGAGAGCAGATATAGTGAATGCAGGGTCCGGGGAGACCAAATATAGTGAATGCAGAGTCCGGGGGAGAGCAGATATAGTGAATGCAGGGTCCTTGGACACCAAATATAGTGAATGCAGGGTCCGTGGAGACCCTATATAATGAATGAGGGGTCCAGGGAGAGTGGATATAGAGAATGCAGGGTCTGGGGAGAGCAAATATAGTGAATGCAGGGTCCGGGGAGACCAGATATAGCGGATGGAGGGTCCGGGGAGAGCGGATATAGTGAATGCAGGGTCCGGGAGACTGGATATAGTGAATGCGGGGTCCAGGGAGACCAGATATAGTGCATGCAGGGTCCAGAGAGACCGGATATAGTGAATTCAGGGTCCGGGGAGACCGGATATAGTGAATGCAGGGTCCGTAGAGACCGGATATAGTGAATGCAGGGTCCGGGGAGACCGGATATAGTGAATGCAGGGTCCGGGGAGACTGGATATAGTGACTGCAGGACCTGGGGAGACCAGATATAGTGAATGCAATTTCCGGGGAGACCGGATATAGTGACTGCAGGGCCTGGGGAGACCAGATATAGTGAATGCAGGGTCCGGGAGAGAGCGGATATAGTGAATGCGGGGTCTGAGGAGACCAGATATAGTGAATGCAGGGTCCAGGGAGACCGGATATAGTGACTGCAGGGCCTGGGGAGACCAGATATAGTGAATGCAGGGTCCGGGGGAGAGCGGATATAGTGAATGCAGGGTCCGGGGGAGATCGGATATAGTGAATGCAGGGTCCGGGGGGACTGGATATAGTGACTGCAGGGCCTGGGGAGACCAGATATAGTGAATGCAGGGTCCGGGGAGAGCGGATATAGTGAATGCAGGGTCCGGGGAGACCGGATATAGTGACTGCAGGGCCTGGGGAGACCAGATATAGTGAATGCAGGGTCCGGGGAGAGCGGATATAGTGAATGCAGGGTCCGGGGGGACTGGATATAGTGACTGCAGGGCCTGGGGAGACCAGATATAGTGAATTCAGGGTCCGGGGAGAGCGGATATAGTGAATGCAGGGTCTGGGGAGACCAGATATAGTGAATGCAGGGTCCAGGGAGACCGGATATAGTGACTGCAGGGCCTGGGGAGACCAGATATAGTGAATGCAGGGTCCAGGGAGACCGAATATAGTGAATGCAGGGTCTGGGGAGACCAGATATAGTCAATGAAGGGTCCAGGGAGACCAGATATAGTCAATGAAGGGTCCAGGGACACCAGATATAGTCAATGAAGGGTCCAGGGAGACCAGATATAGTCAATGGAGGGTCTGGGGTCTAGTAACACTTTAATGTACATTTGCCGTTATCCCCCCCATTCTCAGGGAATTGACTCCATATTTGTATATAACAGTTTTATTTTTTCTTGTAGACAACGGTGATACAGCTACTCAGGCCCCTGTCTCAGGTAAGTTATATAGAACTGTTTCCAGATTATATATCAAAATGTATTTGTTAGATGCCGTTGAGCAGTAAGTAGTTTTCATCTGGGCTCTATAGCAGTGGCACAGTCTGCTGTGCTGATAGGTTGGAGGCGTAAAAATCAGCACCGCCTACATATACTGTTCATGGGAAGAAAGTAAAGCGGAATTAACCTGCATCTGAGCATGACAAACCAAAACCGCTGTTTAATTCATTCTTAATATTCAAAGCAAACTCTCCTATTTTGTTGAGAATTCACTTTGAAAAACAAAGAAACCCCCTGCCATTTCTAACCGAGGCCATCTTGAGTAAGGGCAGGTGATTCATGTAGCATTTAATTCCTGAAATCCATCTGCCCTTAGCTCAGACATGCAGTCAGGAGGGTGGGCGTAGCTCAGAAAGCCCCTCCTCCCATGAAGAGTCCTGGGATTTATGACATCATTTTGGCCTAGGACAGAAACCAGGAAGCAACTGAAGAAATGTTAAAAAAAAAAAGTAAATGTAGCGCCCTCCTAGGTGGCTAGGGGGAGCTAGTGTTCAATTGGTAGAGAGGGCTGAGTAGCAGCCTGGGTGTGATAGTCAGAGGGTCAAATTGTGGTCAGGAGCTGAAGAGGCTCTGTAAGGCAGCCCCTGGAATTTCCCTCTGCTCTAGGGCTTTGGAGAAAGGTCTAGAAACAGTGGGTGGATCTGAGGAGTGGCTGGTTTGCACTCTTGAGGGATCCTAGCCAATCCCCAACAGAATGTTTGGAAAGGGGCTGGAACACCCTTAAAAGTGTTGGAGCCTACACACTCTACGCAGGAGAGTTTGGGTGGAATATATGATGCTGAAGGCAGGAGGCTGCGAGGAGGCCCAGTAGGATGGGGCCTACCTGCAGGCCTGGAGCTGGAAAGGAGGAAAAACTATTAGCTCACTGGCCCCTAGCGTTAGGACCACCTGTACAGCAGGAAAGGAGCGGCCCAGCTAATAGGCCTGATAGCACCCACCGACCCATCAGCGGTACAGGAGAGGATCTGAGTAAGTACCTCTGCACCCCCTGAGCAGGATAGGGGAAGGAGCACTCTGGTGGGGATACCAGATTTGCTACCTACTCCGGATTGTTCACTCTTAAAGTAACCGACCCCAGATCCCCTGTTCAGGGACACCCCCAGATTGCTGGGTGAAGAGGAAGAGTTCATCTAGCGTCTGGGGTGGTACATTTAGGAGACATTGGCTAGCTCTCTAAGAGAGACTGTGCTGCAGAGAAGACTTGTACATAGTTCCAGGAAGTTGTCCTCAGTTCATTGGTTCCCTTGGGTATCCTGTACACCCCTCACCCTATCCCAGCTCAAATCCCCTAAATAAAACCACAAAACCAACGCTTGGGGACTGATCTCTGACTCTGGATGCAGACCTGTGTGCAGATGCATGTTGTCTGGCTGTGCAGGACCATAGGGGGACCCAAAGTTTCTAGCGAACCCTAAGGGGGTAGTGCTACATAAAAACCAGTAAATATAATCTACCTTCCTATCTATTTACTAATGCTCACATCATAAGGATTAAAAATAGTTCATTTTGATTGAGAGAACGAACTTGCACATTAAATTGTATTTCATGTAGGAAGGAGGGAATGATCAATCCTACCGGCGCCATGTTATTCACCCATCCTACACCCTATGCAGATTAGCACAAAGCAGTTGTGCTTCACATTGTACCAAGTGGACGTCAGTTTATTGTTGCACGGCATTCATCGGTTAGAACATGTAGTATACTGTAACCTGTCTGTGTTCCAGATGACTCTGCGGATAAAGTGACACCGACAGCAGGAGGTAAGCAGATATATACTTTGTGAATAGAACATCCGCAACATGATGTAGATCATATAAAATCAGCAGAAATGTGATCACTGATGTTCATGAGACAGTACATAGCAGGGGCGGTCTGACAACTCATGGGGCGCCCGGGCAATAGGGGATCATGGGACCCCTGTGTCCTTGCCAAACTCAAAAAAGCCTATGAAAGGTACCAAGGGAATCTCATGGAGCCCCCTACTGATCCCGGGCCCTCGGGCAGTGCCCGATTGCCCAAATGGTCAGTCCCAGGGGCGGACTGACAACTCATGGGGCCCCCGGGCAATAGGGGTTCATGGGGCCCCTGTGTCCTTGCCCAAACTCAAAAAAGCCTATGAAAAAGGTACCAGGGGCATCTCATGGGGCACCCTACTGACCCCGGGCCCTCGGGCACTGCCCGAGTTTCCAAATGGTCAGTCCGCCCCTGGTACATAGTAGCTAATCAGAAACCTTCTGTAGGGCTCGTTCAGACGTGCAGTCAGGGGGGGCAGTAAAAGCAGGCAGTTGAACAGCGCCTATGACCAGCTACCTAAACGAGGGCATGCAGCTGCTCAGGACTGCACACATGTCATGGGTGATGATGGTTTGCGTCACGGCAAAAAATTAAATGGAATGTCGCATTCAGCCATCAGCTCAAGCGAATGCCTCCTGAGCCTGGAGTACTCTTGTAAGGAAATCCTTCGAATGCTCACAATGCTCCTCCTCTGCAGTAAAGCAATCAAAGAAAGACCTCCATAGCGCCCTCCGCAGTAAAGCAATCAAAGAAAGACCTCCATAGCGTCCTCCGCAGTAAAGCAACCAAAGAAAGACCTCCATAGCGTCCTCTGCAGTAAAGCAATCAAAGAAAGACCTCCATAGCGTCCTCTGCAGTAAAGCAATCAAAAAAAGACCTCCATAGCGTCCTCCGCAGTAAAGCAATCAAAGAAAGACCTCCATAGCGTCCTCCGCAGTAAAGCAATCAAAGAAAGTCCTCCATAGTGTCCTCCTCTGCAGTAAAGCAGTCAAAGAAAGACCTCCATAGCGTCCTCCGCAGTAAAGCAATCAAAGAAAGACCTCCATAGCATCCTCCGCAGTAAAGCAATCAAAGAAAGACCTCCATAGCGTCCTCCGCAGTAAAGCAATCAAAGAAAGACCTCCATAATGTCCTCCGCAGTAAAGCAATCAAAGAAAGACCTCCATAGCGTTCTCCGCAGTAAAGCAATCAAAGAAAGACCTCCATAGCGTCCTCCGCAGTAAAGCAATCAAAGAAAGGCCTCCATAGTGTCCTCCGCAGTAAAGCAATCAAAGAAAGACCTCCATAGCGTCCTCCGCAGTAAAGCAATCAAAGAAAGACCTCCATAGCGTCCTCCTCTGCAGTAAAGCAATCAAAGAAAGACCTCCATAGCGTCCTCCGCAGTAAAGCAATCAAAGAAAGACCTCCACAGCGTCCTCCGCAGTAAAGCAATCAAAAAAAGACCCCCATTGCGTCCTCCGCAGTAAAGCCATCAAAGAAAGACCTCCATAGCATCCTCCGCAGTAAAGCAATCAAAGAAAGACCTCCATAGCGTCCTCCGCAGTAAAGCAATCAAAGAAAGACCTCCATAGCGTCCTCCTCTGCAGTAAAGCAATCAAAGAAAGACCTCCATAGCGTCCTCCGCAGTAAATCAATCAAAGAAAGACCTCCATAGCGTCCTCTGCAGTAAAGCAATCAAAGAAAGACCTCCATAGCGTCCTCCGCAGTAAAGCAATCAAAGAAAGACCTCCATAGCGTCCTCCGCAGTAAAGCAATCAAAGAAAGTCCTCCATAGCATCCTCCTCTGCAGTAAAGCAATCAAAGAAAGACCTCCATAGTGTCCTCCTCTGCAGTAAAGCAATCAAAGAAAGACCTCCATAGCGTCCTCCGCAGTAAAGCAATCAAAGAAAGACCTCCATAGCGTCCTCCGCAGTAAAGCAATCAAAGAAAGACCTCCATAGTGTCCTCCGCAGTAAAGCAATCAAAGAAAGACCTCCATAGCGTCCTCCGCAGTAAAGCAATCAAAGAAAGGCCTCCATAGCGTCCTCCGCAGTAAAGCAATCAAAGAAAGACCTCCATAGCGTCCTCCGCAGTAAAGCAATCAAAGAAAGACCTCCATAGCGTCCTCCTCTGCAGTAAAGCAATCAAAGAAAGACCTCCATAGCGTCCTCCGCAGTAAAGCAATCAAAGAAAGACCTCCACAGCGTCCTTCGCAGTAAAGCAATCAAAAAAAGACCCCCATTGCGTCCTCCGCAGTAAAGCAATCAAAGAAAGACCTCCACAGCGTCCTCCGCAGTAAAGCAATCAAAGAAAGACCTCCATAGCGTCCTCCGCAGTAAAGCAAACAAAAAAAGACCTCCATTGCGTCCTCCGCAGTAAAGCAATCAACGAAAGACCTCCATTGCGTCCTCCGCAGTAAAGCAATCAAAGAAAGACCTCCATAGCGTCCTCCGCAGTAAAGCAATCAAAGAAAGACCTCCATAGCGTCCTCCTCTGCAATAAAGCAATCAAAGAAAGACCTCCATAGCGTCCTCCTCTGCAGTAAAGCAATCAAAGAATGACCTCCATAGCGTCCTCCGCAGTAAAGCAATCAAAGAAAGACCTCCATAGCGTCCTCCGCAGTAAAGCAATCAAAGAAAGACCTCCATAGCGTCCTCCGCAGTAAAGAATCTAAGAAAGACCTCCATAGCGTCCTCCGCAGTAAAGCAATCAAAGAAAGACCTCCCATAGCGTCCTCCGCAGTAAAGCAATCAAAGAGAGACCTCCATAGCCGTCCTCCGCAGTAAAGCAATCAAAGAGAGACCTCCATAGCGTCCTCCGCAGTAAAGCAATCAAAGAAAGACCTCCATAGCGTCCTCCGCAGTAAAGCAGTCAAAGAAAGACCTCCATACCGTTTTACTGTACTTTTTGCATAAAACCATTTGAAATTGCACTTACATGTATTCCATGCATATGGCACTTTAAAACCAATAATGTCCTGGGATGCTGCTTAGCCCCACCTGTAACGGAACCGGACCCTGACTGCACTAGGGTATTTCCGTTAAACTCCCACTTCCCTGACCGAACACAGATCCACGGACACCACCGCTGACCATACAAGAGAGAGAGCACCAGACTTGAAGGAAAAAAAGTTTCATTGTAATTTTCTTTCAAGAGCAATACAATATTCTGTTGATCCATTGTCATGGGACCCTTAAATGGCGTGGGGCCCACTCTGCTTATTTGGTAATCCAGGACTGAAAATAGGAGATGAGGAGGCAACATATCAACATACATGGCTGCCACACATGAGAACGAGCCTTTAGAGGGTTTTTAAAATATTTTCAGATTATTTATGTTCGGGCTAAAATAAACTAGCGAGTAGCAGGTAAATTTGAAATATTGCAGATAGCCCATTCTGTTTTTTACCAGTAGATGGCGATCTATGCAATCTCAAACCCTTTGGAATTGATTTCCTGAAGGCAATTAGACTGTGCACTTTGCAAGTTCAGTTGTTCCAGAGCTTAGTAAATGAGCTGAAGCTCTGCTGACTTCCATCAACCAATCATGCGCAAGCAAAAATGCTGTTTTGTTTTTTTTTTTTCCTTGCATGTGATTGGGTATTCTTTGCAAAGTGCAGCTTCACCTCATTTACTAAGCTCTGGAGCAACTGCACTTGCAGAGTGCTCAGTCCGTTTGCCTTTACTAAATCACCCCCGTTTGATAATGCTGAATTCTAGTCATCTTAGAAAATGCTGTGTAGAAATGTATTATTCTTGCTAAAAGTCAGAAGATAAAGCCATCATGTTTCAGGGGCCCAGAACTCCGCCTTCATTGGGGGCTAAGAAACAAGATGATGTAAAATGATATAAATCAGAAGATGGTATACTATAAATATAAATAAAGAAGTTCAAATGTCATAAAAAAGTATGAAACAATAAAAGGTATATATACATTATATTGCCAAAAGTATTGGACTCCTGCCTTTCCACGCACATGAACTGTAATGGCATCCCAGTCTTGGTCCGTAGGGTTCAATATTGAGTTGGCTCCGCCCTTTGCAGCTATAACAGCTTCAACTCTTCTGGGAAGGCCATCCACAAGGTTTAGGAGGGTGTCTATGGGAAGGTTGGACCATTCTTCCAGAAGCACATTTGTCAGGTCAGGCACTGATGTCGGGGGAGGAGGCCTGGCTCGCAGTCTCCGCTCTAATTCATCCCAAAGGTGTTCTATGGGGTTGAGGTCAGGACTCTGTGCAGGCCTCCACCCCAAACTGGCTCCTCCATGTCTTTATGGACCTTGCTTTGTGCACTGGTGCGCAGTCATGTTGGAACAGGAAGGGGCCATCCCCAAACTCTTCCCACAAAGTTGGGAGCATGAAATTGTCCAAAATTTATTGATATGCTAACGCCTTGAGAGTTCCCTTCACTGGAACTAGGGGGCCAAGCCCAACCCCTGAAAAACAACCCCACACCATAATCCCCCCTCCACCAAAACTTTACACTTGGCACAATGCAGTCAGGCAAGTACCGTTCCCCTGGCAACCGCCAAAACCAGACATGTCCATTGGCTTCCCAGACAGAGAAGCGTGATTGGTCACTCCAGAGAACACGACTCCACTGCTCTAGAGTCCAGTGGCGGCGTACTTTACACCACTGCATCTGACGCTTTGCATTGCACTTGGTGATGGAAAGCTTGGATGCAGCTGCTCGGCCATGGAAACCCATTCCTATAGGAAACCTATACACACTGTTGTTGGGCTCATCTGAAGGCCACATGAAGTTTGGAGGTCTTTAGCTATTGACTCTGCAGACAGTTGGCGACTTCTGCGCACTGTGCGCTTCAGCATGCGCTGACCCCGCTCTGTCATGTGACGTGGCCTACCACTTGGTGGCTGAGTGGCTGTTGTTCCCAGTTGCTTCCACTTTGTTATAATTCCACAAAGTGGAATATTTAGTAGCCAGGAAATGTCACGGATGGACTTATTGAACATGTGGCCACCTATCACGGGACCACGCTTGGAGTCACTGAGCTCCTGACAGCGACCCATTCTTTCACAAATGTTTGTAGAAGCAGTCTGCATGCCTAGGGGCTTGATTGTATACACCCGTGTCCATGGAGGGGATTGGAACACCTGAATCACATGATTTGGAGGGCGGGCCCACTATCTTTGGCAATATAGTCTATGTGTGCATCACAAAAAAAGACCATAGATGGGCATCATACAAATACAATGGGTGTTGATTTACTAAAAGCAAAATGACTGTGCACTCTGCACAACCAGTTGCTCAAGAGCTTAGTAAATGAGGTAAAACTTCACTTTGCAAAGAATACCCAATCATGTGCAAGGGAAAGCTATGATCTTTAGAAAAAAGCAGTGGGTTATAGTGCCATCCACAGGAATAGGATGCTAGGTGCAGGCAAAAAGCAAACAAAGCTGACAGCTTCATTTGGTGACCTAATGCCACAACTATCGGAAGGAGTTATATTCTTGGTGTTTTTTTGCCCTCTTTCCAGTTGGGTACTGCTTCTGGCTCTGATTGTTTGATCAAAGCAGCGTATCTCAATGAAGGATAGAGACATTTTTTACCCACTGTAAAATTATTTTCTATGGGGGACACATCTCCCACCATACTAGTTGTTTTGGGCTTGTTGCCAATGTTTGAATAGTTTCTCTATTACTGAGTCTTTCTGGCAGTTGTGGGGTTAGGCCACTAGATGGAGCCATCCTCTTTGCTACTTTTTGCTTGGTGTCCTGCCCCTGCAGATGGCACTATAGCCCACAGGTTCTGATCAAAGCCGTGTCCCTCAATGAACTCCGAGAAAAGAAAATTACTCAGATTACAAAAAATTTTTACTTTTGCAATTTTAGCAATGGAGGCTGATGTAATTATAGGAGGGTTTTGCATTGTTATTTGCAAATGTTTTAAGTGCTATTTTTTTTCATATTATCTGTGGCTCGCTGCCAGCTGCCATGTTTGGATGGGACTCACAAGCTGAGGGGGGGGGGGGGTTCTGTACTACCTGTCAGGTTCCATCCCCCAATCTTCATTCTCTCACTCTCTTTCTCTTTTTGGCAGACTGTAAGGAGGTTGAGTATCCCTGCACTCGGGTGTACTCCGTACAAAAGCCGGTGAAGCAATGCATCAGCTACTTGTGTGTCACCAGGTATGACCAATCCCTCTAAATCCAGCTCTGCTGAGAGAACAAGCCATTGGTACTGGAGTTGTAAAGACCCCGGACACTTTAAAGTTGAACTCTAACCAGCTGATAAAAAATCCCCTTTTGGAGGCTCACCCCCCCCCCCCCCCATCTGATACTTGCTTAATCTAAGGGCAATATGGTGCCAATATTTTAAAAGGGGTCAAAATCTTCACCAAGTAATTACAGACCTGTTAGTGTAACTTCTATAGTTGGGAAGATACTGGAGAGTTTAATAAAAGACTACATAGAGGAGTTCTTGCTGGAAAAAAAATATTTTAAGCAACAGACAGCATGGATTCATGAAAGACAGAAGATGTCAAACAAATCTGATTTCTTTTTATGAGGAGGTGAGCAAAACTTTGGACAGAGGGGTGGCGGTGGACGTGGTATACTTGGACAGAGGGATGGCTGTGGACGTGGTATACTTAGACAGAGGGGTGGCTGTGGACGTGGTATACTTGGACAGAGGGGTGGCTGTGGACGTGGTATACTTGGACAGAGGGGGTGGCGGTGGACGTGGTATATTTGGACAGAGGGATGCCGGTGGACTTGGTATACTTGGACAGAGGGGTGGATGTGGAGGTGGTATACTTGGACAGAGGGGTGGCTGTGGAGGTGGTATACTTGGACAGAGGGATGTCGGTGGACGTGGTATACTTGGACAGAGGGGTGGTGGTGGACAAGGTATACTTGGACAGAGCGGTGGCGGTGGACGTGGTATACTTGGACAGAGGGGTGGTGGTGGACATGGTATACTTGAACAGAGGGGTGGCTGTGGACGTGGTATACTTGGACAGAGGGTGGTGGTGGACAAGGTATACTTGGACAGAGCGGTGGGTGATATACTTGTACAGAGGGGTGGTGGTGGACGTGGTATACTTGGACAGAGGGTGGTGGTGGACAAGGTATACTTGGACAGAGCGGTGGCGGTGGACGTGGTATACTTGGACAGAAGGGTGGTGGTGGACATGGTATACTTGGACAGAGGGGTGGCGGTGGACGTGGTATACTTGGACAGAGGGGTGGTGGTGGACAAGGTATACTTGGACAGAGCGGTGGCGGTGGACGTGGTATACTTGGACAGAGGGGTGGTGGTGGACGTGGTATACTTGGACAGAGGGGTGGCGGTGGACGTGGTATACTTGGACAGAGGGGTGGCGGTGGACATGGTATACTTGAACAGAGGGTGTGTCGGTGGACGTGGTATACTTGGACAGAGGGGTGGCGGTGGACGTGGTATACTTGGACAGAGGGGTGGTGGTGGACAAGGTATACTTGAACAGAGGGGTGGCGGTGGACGTGGTATACTTGGACAGAGGGGTGGTGGTGGACGTGGTATACTTGAACAGAGGGGTGGCGGTAGACGTGGTATACTTGGACAGAGGGGTGGTGGTGGACGTGGTATACTTGAACAGAGGGGTGGCGGTGGATGTGGTATACTTGGACAGAGGGGTGGCGGTGGACGTGGTATACTTGGACAGAGGGGTGGCGGTGGATGTGGTATACTTGGACAGAGGAGTGGCGGTAGACGTGGTATACTTGGACAGAGGGGTGGCGGTGGATGTGGTATACTTGGACAGAGGGGTGGCGGTGGACGTGGTATACTTGGATTTTGCAAAAGCGTTTGACACAGTTCCCCACACACGGCTAATGTGTACGGTAAAGTCTACAGGCTGGAAAAATCTGTATGTAAATGGATAGAAAACTGGCTAAAAGATGGTATTCAGAGAGTAGTGATGAATGATTCATACTCTGAATGGTCCGGGGGTGTCAGTGGTGTACCCCAAGGTTCAGGGGTGTCAGTGATGTACCCCAAGGTTCAGGGGTGTCAGTGGTGTACCCCAAGGTTCAGGGTTGTCAGTGGTGTACCCCAAGGTTCAGGGTTGTCAGTGGTGTACCCCAAGGTTCAGGGTTGTCAGTGGTGTACCCCAAGGTTCAGGGTTGTCACTGGTGTACCCCAGGGTTCAGTGTTGGGACCCTTACTATAGAGGACATAGAGGACTAAGCATTTTTTTTTTAGCACTTGTGTTTTTCTAGCACTTAATACTTTTTACATGGTGGTTTTGTTTACATCTTAGCATGGGTTAGTAGTGATTAAAACAAAGAAGAGTGGCCTTTGGGGACTGGAATTAAGCTTTAAGGACTTGTTCACACAGGTGTTCGAGGAGTGGTAAAAAACAGACAGTTGAGCCATGGTTTAGTGCTCCACTGACCACTGAGCCAGTTAACATGGCCAGTGGCCATAATAGTACACAGCGGTGTTGAGTTACTACAGGCAAATAGACTGAGCACTTTGCAAGTGCAGTTGCGCTCATTTTCCTTGTGGTAAAGCTTCGCTGTGTAACGAATACCCAGTCAGGTGCAAGGAAAATTTTAAAAAAGAATATTTGCTTTCACATGATTGGATGATAGAAATCAGCAGAGCTTTACCACATTTACAAAGCTCTGGGGAAAATGCGTGCAGCTGCCTTTACAAAGTGCACAACCTATTTGCCTTTAGTAAATCCACCCCATTGCTGTGGTTGAGATGTGGTGAGGGCCTCTGCTCCCAGGGTCGTGGATAAGGGGTACCACCTGTCCTCCTGTACAGGGCCCAGACCAACAGGGGGGGCCCAAGCAGTTGGGTGAATCAGATGTGGGCAGGGAAGGTGATTGGCACAGCAAGGGTGCAATTACTGGAACCGATCCCCTGTATGGGTCTCTTTTGCAGCAGCTGGCTTCTTCTCCTTTCCCTGCCGCTGGCTTTCAGCTGCTGTAGAGAGAGCCATACAGGGGATCGGTTCCAGTGATTGCTTCCTTTCGCACCCATCACTCTCCCTGTGCACCATACATTTACCCCAGCTGCCCTGGCCCCCCCTGTGTGCCTCACCCCCGCAGTGCTGCCGGCTTCCCTCTTCTCCTTTCTATTGGCAGCTGCAAGCACACAAAAGGAAGGAGAGTGGTAGAAGGGTCCAGCATATATTTCACATTTACCAGCCCCTTCCTTTTCTGAAGGAACACAATGAGTGATTGGTACCGATCACTCACTGTGTTCATTCATAAATGAAGCCCAAAAAAAAAAAAAAAAACTGTTTTTTTTTTTTTGGGGGGGGGGGGGGGGGCTGTCAGGTTGGCTGTATGGGGCCCCATGGTTTCTATCAGCAGCCCTGTCTGCTCCCCAATGCACCGGCATTCTGCAAAACCGCTGATCACATCTATTTAACCCTCTCAGAGCCTAACCATCCTCCAAGATATACAGAGGTGCCTACTTGTATTCTTTTATCTTCAATAAACGATTATAATAAATCATTAAGCGGGGTGTTTATCTGGATACCGGGCGCTCCTCTTCAGTCACCCAAGTGTTCCCAATGGTGATGGACGCATTGCCTTTATCAGAAAAGTAGCAGCCCTGGACCATAGGGGATCTATCACCGAGCACCTAAAATTGGGATGCAACTCATTGGAAGCAATCCAGAGGCACAAGTCCAGTGCTGCCTTCCCACCCAAACCTGTGAGATCTATTAATAAATACAGACCTTCCCAAATTTGTGTTTTTAATAGGTGTGTGGAGTTCATCTCTAATTGTTATGAAGACGTGTGGACAATTATCAATGGTTGTATCATCAGTGACTTTTTCTATTCTGTGTTGACAGTGTACGACGTGTGTACATGGTGAACAAAGAGATCTGTAAGCGGCTTATGTGTAAGGAGCATGAGGTTATGCAAGGTGAGTGCTGCTTCTTACACCTGGTGGGGGGTTATGGTCAATTTACACCGTGCAACCGCTTTTCCACTGCATAACTTACCTATAGGGCGGCAGAGCCGCTCTTCTGCCCTGGATGACATACCTAGTATGTGATCAGCACTTGTGATTCGTTACAGAACAAGCCAATCAGCGGGTCCTAGCCAATGACTGACGGCCGGTACCCGTTGAACGGCTCAGTGATTCACGGACAGAGCTCTGTATAGTGACAAGCGATCTTGTTTTTTTCATTCCCTGCTAAACAGGAAAAAAACCCCAACAAGATCTCTTAGTAAAATCAGCACACAGTACACACATTAACACTTCCTAGGAGCACAGTTAACCCTTTAATTGCCCCAGCTGTTAATCCCTTCCTACACAGTGTCATTAACACAGTGTCAGTGCATATCATTGGTGATGGCAGTGACAGTTAGTCAGTGTCAGATTGCCCACCACACTATCACAGTCCTGATATAAGTCGCTGATCGCCGCCATAAACTTTAAAAATTCCAGTATATATATATATATATATATATGTAGGTCTTGTGAGAGCTCTCTTTTGCGAGGCATAGTTCACATCAGACAGTGCTTCTTGAAACTAGTAAACCCAAAACAGGTGTGTGTTTTTTAAGGGCAGGACAGCTGTCAGCATCATGACACTGATTGGAGTCAAGGTTGGCTCACTCCTGGCTTCAATTAGCTCTAGGAGAAGTCATTAAACTAGGGCCTCACATACTTTTTCCTCCCTGCACTGTGAATGTTTACATGTCATGTGCAATTAAACCATGGCCACATCTAATGTTTGTGTAGTATTATGTTCAGCAGACTGTGTTCTTCTATTGTTGTGACTTAGATGACGTTCAGAGCACATTTTATGCCCAATTCATGCAAAACTCCACGTAATCCCAAGGGGTTCACATACTTTTTCTTGCAACTGTATATATATATATATATATATATATATATATATATATATATATATATACATACACACACACCAGTTTATAAAAGCTATAACTTTCACGCAATACCAATTAATATACACTTTTTGGGATTTTTTTTTACCCAAGATATGAAGCAGAATACATTTTGGCCTAAATGTATCCAGATATTAGTTTTTTAACATTTTTTTATTAGGTATGTTTGCCCGCCACACTATCACAGTCCTGATATAAGTCGCTGATCGCCGCCATAACTTTAAAAATTTTAGTACATATATATATATCTATATATATATCTATATATATACATACTGTATGTATATATATATATATATTACATATATATATATATATACACATATATATATATACACATATATATACATATATATATATATATAAATATATACACATATATATACTGTATATATATACATATATCTACATATATATATAAATATATACATATATATATATATACATATATATATATATATATATATATATATATACATATGCATATATATATATATACACACACACACATATATCTATATATACATACACACACATCAGTTTGTAGACACTATAACTTTCACGCAAAACCAATTAATATACACTTTTTGGGATTTTTTTTTTTTTACCCAAGACATGAAGCAGAATACATTTTGGCCTAAATGTATTAAGATATTAGATTTTTTAACATTTTGTATTAGGTATGTTTTATAGCAAAAAGTAAAACATTTTGGGTTTTTTCAAAATTAAAATTTTTTTTTTGTTTATATAATAAAAAAAATAAAAAGCCAGAGGTGATCAAATACCACTAAAAGAAAGCTATATTGGTGTGAAAAAAAACTTATATTCATTTGGGTACCGAATTGCATGACAATGCAATTGTCAGTTAAAGTAGCGCAGTGGCGTATAGCAAAAAATGCCCCGTCATGAAGGAGGGTAAATCTTACAGAGTAAAAAGTGGTTAAATAAATCTCCTCAGCACTGAAAAATCAAATACTGGTTCATAGATGCATTTAGGCTGCATTCACATTTGGAGATTCGGAATCACCAGCAGAATCGCCACGACGCACATTTGGGTACCATTATTCTTAATGGCACCCCAAACATGGTGAGATTTGGTCGAAATTGTAATGCACCAGGATCGTGCGGCATTTGCAGAAAAATCGCATTTAAAAATTGCACAAAGCTCATCGCCCAAACAAGGTCCATGAGCTTCTTTTGAGCAACAAACACACAATTTTTTTTTTTTTTCTACGGGTGAACTGGATGGACTTTTGTCTTTTATCAGCCAGACTAACTATGTAACAATGTAACTATAGGGCAGCCCTATTAGAGACAAGCTTAGTCGCATGAAAATCATACAGAGAGAGTTTGCAGGCAGGAACGCTTGTGCCCGCTATGCAATATGTGAATGAAATACCTTAGAAATAGCTCTTTGTTCCCCTCTAATAGGGCCCAGGGAGCTCAGGGTTGGTTGGTCACCATCTAGTATATGTATTAGTTTGTCCTCAAGCACCTCCTGTAGTCAGAATAATTGCTTATACCGGACTTGGATGAAGTTCCTATATGTTGGAACTTCATCCAATATTCATGGGGCCCCCCGGGCAATAGGGGATCATGGGGCCCCTGTGTCCTTGCCCAAACTCAAAAAAGCCTATGAAAAAGGTACCAGGGGCATCTCATGGGGCCCCCTACTGACCCCAAGTTTCCAAATGGTCAGTCCGCCCCTGGTAGAAACATATTTTCCTATGTGTGAGGTATGAGTAGCTATGCATCCACCTGGGGAGGAGAATGTACCTCCCATGAGGAGCAGTCTTCATTACCACCAATTTTCATCAGCACCTCACTCTGTTTTTTTTTTTTTTTTTTCTCCAACACAGATGAGAAGTGTCGCCAGCTAGCCGGACTTCCGCCACGGCGCCTCCCACCACCCGAGGAAGGGACTGCAGATGGAAATGAAGCAAACTAAGCCTGCAATGAACCTCAACTATAACCCCACTTCAGTATTATAAAGCCAAATCCTGTGCCCCAGTTTTCAGAGCACTGACTTTAGATAAAAATGATCCCTTTTATATCCTTACACTCCCTTGATCCTAGTAGTAGTATTAAGCCCATGTTGTGGAATATTTACTGTGGCCAGCTTGGCATTGGGTGACAACCAGTGGCACTATGGGGTTCACAATGGAGCAGACCATTTTGCTGCAACTCCTTTCATCAAAAGCCTTGTTTATGGAGTCAAATTCAGTCATGTAACAGTATACCAACAGTACTGCTGGCCGCTTGGTGCTTGATCATTCACACGCAGTGAGACATTTTCATGAGAGGCCTATGGGGGTGTGTTGCTTGCAGGCTATACCGACCTTCTAAAGCTTACGGTGCTGACCTCCTTTAAAAATGCTAGCTTGCTTGCTGTCATGCTGATCATTGTTACACGGTTACCTTGTACAGTCTCAGTGATCACTGGGGAGTGGAGACTGAGGAAATTTTCCTCCTGTCTGCAACAGACTGATGGCATGGTTCACTCAGGTTCTTCTGCTCTGCTTGAACATTGTATCTAGGTTGGGGGCTCAAAAAATGTTTTTTTTTTTTTTAAAAACCATAGACCGCACTTTGGCACTTCCATTAGGATACCGCTTCCCCGTCTGTACACACCGACCACAGACACCACAACACACCATACAAGACTAGATGACACCAATCTTGGAAGTAAACCAGGAAATAGACTACTTTATTTTAACACAGATACAAGATATATACATTCAAGGGAACAACCCCCCCTCCCTGCATAATGTCACAGGGCGGGGCAATCTGCCTTTAGTAACAAGAGACACACTAGAAGACATTCCTATCAGGAGGGAGGCTGCTGGAGACACCCCCCACCAAGCCAATACACAAACACCTACATCCCATAATAGTTTTCTCCCAAGCCAGACACATAATAGAACAATTGGATGCAACCACATGGCATTAAGCAATCCACAAGCCCCCCACCCCAATATTAGGACAGATCATCCTGTACCCCTAACAAGCACAGGGTGACTTACACATAAGAGGGATATGGGGAGCTGAGACAGGGGTCTCCCCACCTCTCCAAAGTGTTCCATGGGCCCCCCACCCAAAGTGACTCCCATCACAGATAGCAATAAAGCTTTTTATATATAGTATACTTTTGGTGGATATTGTAACAAGCCAGAGACTTATTCATGAAAACCTCTACTGATGCAAGGCAAAGCAATAGGTTTACTTTAAAGCCCCCCCCCCCCAATCAGAACATAAACTATATGGCCAAAAGCTTGTGGATACCTGACCATCACATATGAGCCCATTGGCCCATCCTATTTCAAAACCATGGCCATTAATATGCAGTTAGTGCCCCCATAATTGACTCCACTCATCTGGAAAGGCTTTATATAAAATTTTGGAGTATGTCTGTGGGAATCGCCAGAAGAACATTTGTGAGGTTAGGTACGGATGTTAGATGAGAAGACCTGGCTCAAAATTGTTGTACCAATTCAACCAAGAGGTGTTCACTAGGATTGAGGTTAGCCGTTCTTCCACATCAAACTGCCTTTTTGGAGCTGGCTCTATACACAAAGGAACAAAAAAGAACCTTCACCCAACTGGTCCAACAGGTTGGAATGTGTGTCCATTGCACAAGAGGAACATTTGTGAGATCAAGTGCTGATGTTGGATGAGAAGACCTGGCTCAGATTCGGTGTTCCAATTCAACCTAAAGATGCTCAGTAGATTTGCGGTCCGCCATTTTTCCACACCAAAACTCATCAAATCATGTGTTTTTGGAACTGGTTCTGTATGAAAGGGCACAGTCATGATGGAGCAGAAAAGGGCTTTCACCCAACTGATACCACAAGGTTGGACTGTTTATATTAACAGTACACTTTATTGGAAACATTTGAACCTACTCATTTGGAGAGATGTACACAAATGTTTAGCCATGTTGGTAGGGGGTGAGGGTTAGATGTCTGTTTGGCTCTAAAGTGTATCTACCATTCATTTCCCAGTTGTCCGGCTAGAGCGTAAAAATTAATCCTTGTGTAAGCTCTAGGTAAGGATTCAGCAGGGGTAACCGCAGGGCTGGATCTAGCCTGTTTGATGTGGGAGTGCAATAAAAAAATGTCAGGGGGGTAGAGAATGGGAGGTCAGCAGGGCAGTGCACAGAGATCTGCAAGGCAGTGTACAGGGGTCAGCAGGGCAGAGCATAGGGGACAGCAGGGCAGAGCACTGGGGTCAGCAGGGCAGAACACAGGGGTCAGCAGGGCAGTGCACAGAGGTCTGCAGGGCAGTGTACAGGGGTCAGGGGCAGAGCACAGGGGTCAGCAGTGTACAGGGGTCAGCAGGGCAGAGCATAGGGGTCAGCAGGGCAGTGTACAGGGGTCAGCAGGGCAGAGCACAGGGTCAGTAGGGCAGTGTACAGGTCAGCAGGGCAGAGCACAGGGGTCAGCAGGGCAGAGCATCAGCAGGGCAGTGTACAGGGGTCAGCAGGGCAGAGCACAGGGGTCAGCAGGGCAGTGTACAGGGGTCAGCAGGGCAGAGCACAGGGGTCAGCAGGGCAGAGCACAGGGGTCAGCAGGGCAGAGCACAGGGGTCGGCAGAGCTGAGGATAGGGGACAGCAGAGCTGAGGATCGGAGTCAGCAGGGCACAGAGAAGGGGTCATATCTGGCAGGGCAGAGGACAGGAGTCACTGCTGGCAGAGCAGAGGACTGGGGTCATTTTGGCAGGGCAGAGGACATTGGTCACTGCTGCCAGGGCACTCAGTAGAGCTCCTTCTCCCATCCCTGCACTGCGCACAGCCTGGGTACAAGCAGCACAGCTCCTCCACCCCACACAGATAGCTTTGGCTTGGGGGGGGGCACAACTAAAATCTGGGGAGACCTAGCCCACCCCAGCACCCCCCTAGATCCGGCCACGGGTAACTGTCTATGTGGCAGCACTGAGCCAATCACTAAGGACTAGCACTGTCACATGTAAGTCTCAAGCTCTTCCATACCTAGAAGTACCAAGTAGTTTTTTGCATGCCTGGCAGCTATAGGGAGTAGTGGAAGAGTGAAATAGGACCCTCACCCTTCACCCAATAACACAGCTTTTTTCCTTCTGGTCCCTCCCAGTCCCATAATTTCGTGTTTTCTTTAAAGGTTTCTAGATTATGTAGCCCCCCCCGCACGTGTGCATATGTGCCATGGGTCTTCGGGATCAAGCAGAATCTGCAGCACAGGAATTTTTTTCCCCTGCAGGAGCAAATTGGATCGTGCTTTGCTGGGTTTTTTCCCTTCCTCTGGATCAACTGTGGGTGTAGGATTATAACTTTTTTTTTTTTAATGGTTGAACTGGATGGACTTTTGTCTTTTTTTCAGCCAGACTAACTATGTAACTATGTTGTATTCATCTTTTAAGTGAGTGGCTTGTGGGCGGCACGCATTTGGCGCATGCGTGCTCCTTCCTCAGTGCAGATGCAGGGGTTCCCCAAGTATCAAGGTTCCAGATACCAGTGTTGTGTGCCCATGTGCAGTTAATCAGAAATGTTGGAGGGGGTCTGCGGGAATTTGTGGCTGTTTCACCAGAAGAACATTTGTGAGGTCAGGTACTGATGTTGAGTAAGAAGTCCTGGCTCAAAATCGGTGTTCCAGTCGAACCTAAAGGTGCTCAGTAGGGTTGAGGTCAGCCATTCTTCTTCTGGCTCCGCAAGACCTAAAAATGGCAGCATGGGAGGGGCTGGGTGAACATGTCGGGGGACTGAAGTTGAAGGCGAGTATGTGCTACTGGGAAGAGGAAGGAGCATTAAAGAGAACCTGTTTCTTTGTCTTCCATGAGCAAAGCACGATTGTTTTAAGTGTTGGAGTTAACTAGGGAAAATGTCCCCATTTTAGAGTTCAGGTTGTGTCAAATGTTCAGGCAGGGGGGAGAATGAAGTATTAGGGGGTGCTTTACAGGGGTTCTTGGCACCAAGAGCTCTGTGCTTAAAACTACCGAGAAATAATGTACCGCACCCGCAAAATATCCTCCACTGTACATGCAGGACAGGTACTCTTTAAGCAATGGCTGAGTTGCAGTACATAGAACTCGATACTTCCATGCCACTGTACTTGTGCCTCTGTATCCCAACATATGTAACAATGTTACAATTATCACATAAAGACAAATAATGGAACCGACTATGTCATAAGTCTCTTTATGTACCTGGAAATGTGATCTGTACAAAAGTGTAATTATCTGAAATGATTTCTATATTTTACTTTTTTTCTGCTGCATCTGTGACTCATATCCACCATTATTATCAACTGCAATTATTTCTTAGGGCAGATGCCCTTATGGCTCAAATGTACAAACTGCACATTCAGAAGTCTGTAATGATTACAGTGTTACACAACCCAGGACCCTGCATTCACTATATCTGGTCTCCCCGGACCCTGCATTCACTATATCTGGTCTCCCCGGACCTTGCATTCACTATATCCAGTCTCCCAGGACCTTGCATTCATTATATCTGGTCTCCCCGGACCCTGCATTCACTATATCCAGTCTCCCAGGACCTTGCATTCACTATATCCGGTCTTCCCGGACCCTGCATTCACTATATCCGGTCTCCCCAGACCCTGCATTCACTATATCCGGTCTCCCCGGACTCTGCATTAACTATATCCGGTCTCCCAGGACCCCGCATTCACTATATCTGGTCTCCCCGGACCCTGCTCCCTATATCTGGTCTCCCCGGACCCCGCATTCACTATATCCGCTCTCCCTGGACCCTGCATTTACTATATCCGCTCTCCCTGGACCCCGCATTCACTATATCTGGTCTCCCCGGACCCTGCATTCACTATATCTGGTCTCCTCAGACCCTGCATTCACTATATCTGGTCTCCCCGGACCCTGCATTCACTATATCTGGTCTCCCCGGACCCTGCATTCACTAAATCCTCTCTTCCGGACCCTGCATTCACTATATCTGG